AATACATATAACACATACCATCAAACAACACAATACGTAGCAAACATCAACAGCATTAAAACTACTACTTGGCAACCCTTACCATTTTTTTACTTCTAAAACTGTCCGCCAGAGGTCAGGAGATGATTTTTTTTTTCATTTTTTGAAGCATATTTTTAGACAATCCGAGACATTTATATATTTTTCAGTCATTGTTTTAAAAAAACATTTATATTAACTGCAGGTACTAGATCCACTCTGCTAGAACATAAATCCATTATTTTGTGTATAAACATATGATTCAAAAAATTATTTAAAATAGATCAAAAAACTATTTCTTCCCGTACCGGGAATCGAACCCGGGCCTTCCGGGTGAGAGCCGGATATCCTAACCACTAGACAATACGGGATAAATTACATTGGCTGATAATTATTCTGAAGACGTTGACATTTTTATTTATTTTTATCTAAAATTGAAAAATACTTTTATATCATTAAACTGACTTAATTATTAATTTCCAAATAACTTAATTAAATTAATATGAACAGAAAACAATAAATTATTATATACTTCCTTCTTCTAAGTCTTACTGTTCGAGACAGTTTTGCTAGCGACTTTCTTTCTAGAATTCGTCGGATTTAGCATCTCTCATTAAAGAACATCTTATGTTTTTTGGAAGGTTCCAAATGGCTTAGAATCATTTGTGTTCCATATAGTAACAGAAATTATTAGAATACCGGTATAACACAACCTAACCCAATGCTAACTATATAGTATTGATTTAAAAACATATTCAGCTGAATAAAAATGTTATAAATATAAGTACATTAAGCTAAAAAAGGACACATCTTTTATGTTAATAGAACTTTTCTATTATCTCTATATCTCTTCTCTTTATCATAAAGACTCTATTACTTCATTCATTTTTAATTTGTTATATTACACAGAAATGTATAATTATATTATATATATAAAGCTTACAGCTATGTCATTTTAGCCGTCGGCCAAAAAGGCTCTACTTACAATAAACTGAGATACATATTTAGAAGAATTTATATATATAAGCTAATTTTAGGCAATTATCTTATGTAGACGTTACGTGGTGTAGTCCATAAATTTAATCGACTAAATCAATTTTTTAAATTATAGTATAATTAAGACCCATATTCAAAAGAATTGATAAATATAAGCTAATTTTAGGCAGTTAAATTTTATAGGTGTTACATGTTATAGTCAATAAAATTAATTAGCTTAATTTACTTGTAATCTCGCAGAGTTCTTACTAACAAAATTTCAATCGAATAGCTCAAAAGCTAAGAATCGGAAGAACAGATTGAGTAGTCGTGCTATGCTGATTCAGATATACATATATATGGTTTATTAAGCTTATTGGTTTCCAATGTCTTCTTTGGCGCATTAGAAACATAACAAATCGAGAAAAAAACTTGAAAACATTTTTATATAGATTAAAAAAATTTAATATTGATATACATTAAATTAAAATTAATATATATATTAATTTCGAAGACGAAGTTCTTAAAAAAATAAATAATTAAGATAATAAAATATACATTTATTAAAAAAAAAACCCTTGTCTCCCCGACGGGGAATTGAACCCCGGTCTCCCGCGTGACAGGCGGGGATACTAACCACTATACTATCGAGGACGTTGAGCACAGTTTGTCAGAAATTTTAATTATTTTACTGCAATATATAAAAAAATTTAAATATATTAGATATAATATATTATTATTCATTTATTCGTTTGAAACTTTTAAGTTACAATTTTACTTAGCAAGAAATATTTCATTACAGGAAAATCAGCGGCCGCCTGTTTACAATCCAGAGGATTATGTGCAATCATTAAAAAAATTTGGCAAAAGACAAAGCGGTAAAAACCCACGATCCATATATGACACTCACGACACTAAAAATGCGAATAGTGCAAATAATACAGATGACGCTTATAGGTCATCCACATTACCCAATAAACACTCAGAGTACAAGTAAGTAATAGAAGAACCCAAAGAACATACTTAGTCAAATGTTTTAACCTTTAAATTTTGCAGAAGTCCCATACCAACCCCACCGGAAAGTGACAGTGAAATGTCTTTAAGACAATTCAGTTCAGTTACAGATTTATTAACAAAATTACGCGCTGATTTAAGAGTTTCATTTCCAAGGTATACTATATACACCTAATTATCGCTATATACCTAATAGTGCTGTTCACATTATTCGAAGTTTTTAAAAATTCGAAGTTCTTCGAATATTCGAATATTCGCATTTCAACGAAGTCTTCGAAGTTGGAAAAAACTTCGAAGTTTTTGTGAATTTTTGTTCTCGAAGTCTTCGAAGTTTAAATGTAGTGAAAAACTTCGAAGACTTCGAAGACTTCGTAAGCAAAAGGTGAAGTGAGAGCGCACAATGCAAACAAACGTGCATCACACAAATTATTTGAGGGATGAAAGCGTTTGCTTTGTTTGTACGGTTTTATGTTTTTTTTTTTTTGGTATTCTATGCAGAAAATTAAAAACATGTTTTTTTGTTTTATTTTATTACATAAAATTTATTTTATTATTAAACATGTATTATAATATATATTATTATTAAATATGTTATTATTAAATATTATTTATATTAAATAAAAAATTTACATTTTAAATAACTTATATTTATTATTTATATTTAAAAAATCATAGTTGAGAAAATTTTTAATATACAGTGGTCGTCCAGTATAACGAACGCTCGATATTACGAATTTTCGATATAACGAACACCCAAAATATTTACATTGATTGTTCTATATAACGAACGAAAAAAAAAATTCTGCTCCATATTACGAACAAAAAATTTTTTTTTTCTTATTCGTTTTTGTTTTATACAAATTATGCTTTTGAATATAATTTTACTATAAAACCAGCATTATTCAGCTTAGAATATGCATGTAGTAATTGTTCGTTTTTTTTTTTCTGAGAAAAATGCCTATATATGGCAAAATGCATATATGCAGGCGCCACTGATCTGTTGTTCACAAATTCAGTTTATCATATACGAAATACTATCCAGACATACATATATATAATATCCTATATTATATTTTCAATTTTATTGTTAGTGTGACATTAGTAAATACGAAGTTAATAAATGGAATAATGCTGATAATACCATCGATGTCTCGGACGAGGATGATGGATCTGATGACGAAAATATAGAAGAAAATAATTTAGAAATTATTAAACATAAAGATGCCATAAATCATTTCGAAAAATGCATAAAGTGGGCGATTAACAATAATGAAACTTCAAAATTAGCTGTACTAAGAGAACTACAAGAAAAAGCTGTTCAGAAAAGTCTTGAGTGTAGTAAAAAACAAACAAAAATTAATGATTTTTTCTACTCTACACTATGATTGAATGCGTCCTTTCTTATAAATAATTTTTGTAACAACCGAATAAAAAATACTTTTAAATAAATATATACTCGTACGTGTTTATAAGTTAATTTATGAACTCAAATATATGAAATCTCCTAAAAATAACCATATTGATAGGTAAATGTATAACATTCGATATTACGAATTTTTCGATATAACGAACAAGGGGTGCAACATAAAATTCGTTATATTGGACGTCCACTGTAATATAAAATACATGAAAATTTGATGGAATTTCTTTTATACAATTTTGCTTATACACTAATTTACATTTTATTTAGATACTTCCTTATAATATTATGTATTTCTTTTCCTAGAATAAGGGATTTAAAATTTTTCCATAAACAGTAAAATAACTGTAACTACAACAAAACATTCAAAATTTTATAATGCAAAAATAAATTTGCGCTTGCCTGCGTGATCATCACAGCTCATACAGGTCAAATAATTAGGCATTAATAAGCAAAACTCATTTTTCCATAACTAATTTTCAAGATTTTAATTTGTGATTTTATTGAAAAGGAAAATGAAAACTTTTATAAAATTCCATTACTAATAAAATCCATCAATATCAATATTTTCATATTATTACGTATATATTTTATATTATATTAAAAATTTTCTCAAATATAATTTTTTAAATATATATAATAAATATAAGTTATTTAAAATGTGAATTTTTTATTTAATATAAAAAATATTTAATAATAACATATTTAAAAATAATATATATTATAATACATATTTAATAATAAAATAAATTTTATGTAATAAAATAAAACAAAAAAACATGTTTTTAATTTTCTGCATAGAATAACAACAAAAAACATAAAACCGTACAAACAAAGCAAACGCTTTCATCCCTCAAATAATTTGTGTGATGCACGTTTGTTTGCATTTTGCGCTCTCACTTCACCTTTTGCTTACGAAGTCTTCGA